TCGCGATATCACGAGATTCAAAACACGTGAGGAGCCTCGTGTGATTTCGCCCACCCACCTTAGAGCACATGCTCTACTAGGTATGTCGCCCACCATTCCGTTCGAGCTGCGCGCACATTTCACCCTTCTCATGATGCACACACCACACCACCAAAAAAATCAAAATCTCAGTGTGTGTGTCCGTCGCTCTGGCTGTCAGATACAATCTTGTCGTCCACATGCGTTTGCACTTCTCTGCGAGCTGTCGCGTCGACGAGGCAGATGTGATTGGATGCTACACGATACATGCATCTGCCGCTCTGTGCATCATGAGGGGGGAGGGGGGCTTTTGATGATTGAATCCGACGCGAGCGGCTTAGTCCTTTCTCTAAAACTCGGAAAATAGACATGTTATCTAACAAAGAAAGCCTCATAGTCATCTATACTGCTCTACACTCTACACACACACACACAGAGAGAGAGAGAGAGAGAGAGAGAGAGAGAAACTTGCTGGTAGAAGAGAGTCAAACTTCAGCTCAACTCACGTACAAAAATGAGCGACACGGCCGAACATCAGCCCGATCTCTCGGCCCTCACAGGCTCTCCCGGTCAGAAGCGCAAGCGCGATCCCAGCAGTCCCTCGTCCCTGCTTCGATCCAAGCGCACCGCGCCCGCGGCCAACATGTCCGTCACCCCCGGCGACACGGCCGCCTACATCGAGAGTGCCATCCAGGCCACCGAGGCCGCCGCCGCCAACGGCGTCAACGTCGCCGACTTCAACGCCCTCCAGCAAGCTACGCAGGAGGGCAACGAGGCCGCCGACAATGCCTCGGCCACCAGCACCGCCCAGGCCGCCCTGGGAATGTACCCGACGCTGCACGTCCCCCCTTCCACCGAGGAGCAGTTCGCCGCTCAGGCTGCCGCCCAGGCTGCTGCCGAGGCCGCCAGCGAGGAGAATGGCCACGACGGCTCCGGCTTCAACACGGCGTCGGACGCCAGCCATCATCATCACCAGCAGCAGCAGCAGCAGCAGCAGCAGCATTCACCACCGCCGCAACCTCAGCAGCAGCATAATCAGCAGCCGCAACAGCGGCCGCAGCACCAGCCCGACGGAGTGAGCCCGGACCAGGCCCCGCAACCTCAGGTGCCCCCGAGCCAGCAGCTGGCCTCGGACGGAGCCGTCCAGCAGCCCGATGGGTCGAGGTACTCTGGCGGGTCACCGACGCCGGGGCCCAAGCCCACGGTCGGGTCAGAGGAGTGGCACAAGATGCGCAAGGATAATCACAAAGAGGGTGAGTTTTTTCTTTCTCTCCTTTTTCTTTCTTCCCTTTTCTTCCTCTCCCCTCTCCTCTTCCCCTGTTAAGAAAAAAAAAAACTGACACGTGTATGGTAGTTGAACGTCGCCGTCGTGAGACGATCAACGAGGGAATCAACGAGCTAGCCAAGATAGTGCCGGGATGCGAGAAGAACAAGGGTTCCATCCTCCAGCGGGCATGCCACTTCATCATCCAGCTCAAGGAGAATGAGCAGCAGAATATCGAAAAGTGGACGCTGGAGAAGCTGCTGACGGAGCAGGCCATCACGGAGCTGAGCATGTCCAACGATAAGCTCAAGCAGGAGTGCGAGAGACTGTACCGTGAGCTCGAGACCTGGAAGAGGGTGGCGCAGAATGCCGGTCTGGAACCGCCTCAGCCGAAGGAGGAGCCTACCATTGTTGAACAGTAGTCTTGTTTTCCCTCTGCTCTTTTTTTCTATTTTTTGTCCTCGTGCAAGTCTTGGGGGTGTATTCAGCTTGGCGTTTTCGTCTGTTTGTTGGAAATGGGCATCTGTTTATTTATTCTTTTTTTTTCTTTCTTTTCTCTTTTATTATTTTACCCTCCTTTTCTCTTCTTTCCCTCTTTCTTGCTCTCTTTTTCCTCGCCGGGTTCTTCTTTTCCATTTTATTTCTTCCATCTTTTCCTTTCCTATTAATAATGTCCACTAATATATATATATATATATATATATATATATATGTGTATGTATTCTTCCCATCTCTCAATCGCATCTCTCTTCCATATTCTCATGCCCGACCTTGACGACTCTCTCTCTCTCTCTCCCAATTCACCGTGAAGTCACTTGGGGAAGATGTTGGAAAGGTTGGGTTCTGTTGAGCCCTTCACTGAGGCTGGCCACGTGACAGCCACACACACATACAACCGAGCTTTCACCTCACATCTCCGATTAGCTAGAGAGCTAGAAAAAACACCGTCGAGCTCATCATGTATACAAGTGCTTGATCCCTCTTGACCATTGTCTCTGCTATGCTAACTATGCTAACTGCTGACTATGATATGGGAAGCACTTTCAAGTGACCCAACGTCGTATAACCCCTGTAAGCTACTGGCCAATCTTTTCTGAAGCTACTTACTGGCTACTACCTGACCGGCTGTCTCGGACTAAGCTACTACAGACGTATTTCGTGATACTGCTTTCGTTTAATACCCCGGGGGGGAACCACAATCTGACCATCACCAAACAGGTATCCTTTCAGTTCAAGCAAGCAGGAGACAGTCTACCGTCGAGTGCAGTGAACTACTGTCGCGGAAGCCCCTCCAATCATCATCCGGCTCCGCGCTGGGTAGAAGCCCGTCACCTGTAGTTGACCCTGATGATGTCGTCGACGTTTCCCGTACCTGGTCGCTGTTGACCGTCGAGACGTAAGCTTGGTCAAAGTCAATCTTCATAACCCGCTTCGTCTCGGCACACCACATGACGTTGCCGTTGCTGATATCGTCTCCATCAGTCAGCCCCACGGCCTGCAGCTCCTGAATCGTGCGCCGTTCTTCCTCGTCGACGTCTATGCCGGCGCGCTCGAGCGCCTGGCGTGATGATTCCCGATAGAGAGGCTCACCCGCGTAGGACATGAGTAGCATATGAGTGATCAGCGTGCAGTTGACCATTGGGTAGGGCAAGAAAAGTTTGATCGTCCCGAGGCATACGGGAATGAGTAGCCCTTGCTGAGTATCGAGCTTATCGTAGACACGCATCTCGTGTCGCAGCCGGCGGCTGTGGAGCGTCTCCACGCCTTTAGCCACCAGGGTGTACCCGAAACCTGTGACCGTGATCTTGAACAGACAGCCGATGGCACCCCGGGCCCCGTCGTCGAGAAGGCACTGGCAGTCAAGCTCCGAGTTCTCAAGAAGCTGGTGCCTGACTAGCTCGCGTAGCTCATCACCCGTGATGGCATGCCTTCTTGCCCATCTCGGGCCCTTCGGATGGCAGGCATGGCGTTGCGCCTCTAGGTGGAGTAGGACGTTGGGACAGCCACGGTCGACATTCTCACCCCGAAGCAGACCTCGTAGACATGCCTGGGTGCAGTATGGCCTGATCGGCCTGAAGGTGGACGGGTCGAATGGGCTAGGGAGAGAGGGCGACGTGATCCGCCGCTTCTTCCGATCCTTGTCCTTGACTGAAACGTTGCTCGTGACTTCATGTCTTGGCGATCGGGGTGAGGCTGAATGCTGACGCTTCAATGGGGAGGACTTTGGCGGCTGGTATACCGAAGGCTGAGGCCGACTGGATGAAGAGCCGTCTGCGTTGGAAGGAGAGCCATGGCCTCTGTCGCCTGTATCGGTGTCGATGTCATGGTCGTCGTCATGGCCGTCATCGTGGTCGTCGTTATCGTCCCGTTGCGGACTCGAGCTCGGCCCAGACTGGAGCGACGGCCTAGGTTGGTGCGAGGGAGGCAGTTCCGGAAAGAGAGCTAGCCTGAATACATTCATACTCCGCTGCCGGGGTGGCTCGGGGGTAGACTCGAATGCGAGCATGCATAGGCCGCACAGCCGCGATATAGGCAGCTCATGTATGCCTCCCATGCCCATCTGAGACATGGTTTGGCGGTGCTGGGGGAAGGCTTCGGTGTGGACGGATAGAGTCGTGGGGTCGTCTCCTGATAACCTGAGGAACGTCAAGGTCTCACCGGATGCCAAGAAGCTATATTCGACACCGGATGTGACCATATAATGAAACGTTTGCGTCAACGCATTGATGAAGTATATCTGTCCTGGAAGCAACCTAGGGGCAGGCATCGTGTTGACGTCTGACGGTGAGCCCCCACTATGCTGCCTTCCATGAAGCGTCTTGTTGTTGACCTTGGCGAGCTGGACCATGATGTCCTCGGGTAGTGGCGTATGGTTGAAGCGAGAGAGGGCCTGGGCCCTGATACGGTGCACTGACTTGTGTTCCCCCATAAGGACGCGGTAGACCGATCTGGGCCTGCCAGCATGCTCTCTCTGCCCTTCCCCAGCTGTCTCGGCAGGTGGAGATGGCATCGTAGAGGCCAGCACCAAGCAGTCAGGTTGCGTCGTGACCCCTGGCTTCTGCGCTACAACCCCTGCATTTCTCTCGTCACTGACCTGCACGCTGGAGCTTGCCTCCGACCTAGCCGCATCGGCCGGTGGTCTGACCCGGGCTTGCCAACCTGCCGAGCGATTGTCAAAATAGAGCCGTACTTGGGATCCGACTGCCTCGAGGTAGGCGTTCATGACATGCTGCGCTGGCCTCTCTAGTGCTTCATGAATGACGAACGAGGTCTTCGCCTCGTTGCGGAAGTGTTCAGAATCGAGGAAGGCGAGCGGCAATTGCTCGTCTACGCTTCTCTTCGCCGCGTCCACGTCCATGATGGATGGCAATCGCGATGAGTCACCGAGGACGGCGCGGACACGCTCGAATGCGTCGTGACACGCGTGACGGAAATCATCCCATGGACGGATCCTATGCGGATAGTACTTCCCAAAGATAGAAGTACGGCCAGAGGTTGTAGATTGACTCTTCCGACCCTCGGAGAGCGTGTTGGAATTCTTGACCGGCGTGGGCATCAAGCGTCGTATGTATTGATCCATGGAGTCAATACCAACGAGATATGCATCTACCGTTTGCCCTAGTCTTGTTAGCAAGTGTAGTTATCAAGAATGCTGATGGCCGATGCTTCCTCCAACCTACTCGATCGAATACGCTCGGCTTCTTGTAACCTGCCCTCGGCATCGACCCGCAGTCGATGCTCTTCCTCCAACTTACTCGATTGAATACGCTCGGCTTCTTGTARCCTGCCCTCGGCATCGACCCGCAGTCGATGCTCTTCCTCCAACTTACTCGATTGAATACGCTCGGCTTCTTGTARCCTGCCCTCGGCATCGACCCGCAGTCGATGCTCTTCCTCCAACTTACTCGATTGAATACGCTCGGCTTCTTGTARCCTGCCCTCGGCATCGACCCGCAGTCGATGCTCTTCCTCCAACTTACTCGATTGAATACGCTCGGCTTCTTGTARCCTGCCCTCGGCATCGACCCGCAGTCGATGCTCTTCCTCCAACTTACTCGATTGAATACGCTCGGCTTCTTGTARCCTGCCCTCGGCATCGACCCGCAGTCGATGCTCTTCCTCCAACCTACTCAAGTTACGCTCGGCTTCTTGTAGCCTGCGCTGAGCGCTTTCGTATAGCTCCTTGTAATCCATCAAAGGGGTCTTGCCAGAACCTGCTGTTGTGCAAAGCTGGTGACGATGCCGTGCAGGGCTTCGTCGAGGTGTGGCTCCAAGTCCTTCCAGTACGTTCGTTGTACGAGTCTGTGACAGCCAAGGGTGGGGTTTGCCCTCTGCCCTGCATGAAGACCAGGACAGGCCCCCGCACCTCCTTCCTCGATCGACGTAAGGCTGAACCCTCCTTCCTCTCGTCGGAACAGACAGTTGAATGATCTTCCGGAACAGGTTATTCCGGTCCGATCAGGGCGATCAGAGGTGCCCTTCTACAGTCAACTTTTATCTTTCCATCATGAGAAATCAAGGTGATGCAACACGACGACGCATTGTAAAGCAGGCAGAGAGTAGTGGCTTTTTTTTTTTTTTTTTTTTTTTTGCCGCCACCTTCCCGTCATTACATCAGAGTGAATAGTGATCCAGGCCAGATCATCTTCCTCCCGACCAGCCAAGGACGGACGGCCTGGCTGCGGGCTCGTCGTGGTCTCATGTGACCGAAACCTTGTATGAACAGTGGCAAGAGCTGCGGATACAGTCGGAGGCTCAGTTACCGCGTACTGAGCCGTAACCGGGCCACAAGCCGTAACGCCGGTACTGGTGGTGCCTGCTGCTCTGTAGCCACGCAGTGCTGTGGGTGGCTCAGAGGCTTCGGGAAGAGGACTGAGACGATGATGATCTTGTTTTATGATGATTAGAAGATGATGTGAGAAAAGCTAGCCAGCCAGGTGTGTGCGGAGGGAAAAGGGTGTGGCTGCAGTCATCTGACCAGTGGGGCTGACCACCAACACGTAATCATACTGAGAAATAACATTCATCACGCTAGAAGGTATCATGTATCTGTGGGTTACGTTCCCGCAGCGCGCGCAGATATTGTAGATAATGTATGTGCTTTAGCTCCCTTTAAGTAGAAAGAGGCCATGGCGGTTTGTATTGGTCTCACCCGATCTTCAATCTTAGACTGCCTGATCAGGCCGTAGTTATATATGTGAAGTCTCAAGATGTTTGGTTAGAGGCCTGAGGCTTAGATGCCGGACCGGAATAACCATTATACGGCGTCTCTGACGTTGTCGGTGCAAGCAGCAGCAATATTACCATTATAGTTGAGAGAAACAATATATCATATCGTAATAATACCATCACAGTGAAAACGAGAGATATATATGATATATATGTCATAGCGTAATAATACCATCACAATGAAAACGATATATATCATAGCGTAATAATACCATCACAGTAAAGACAATCTATCTCACAGAGTAATAATCACAGTAGAAGAAAAAAGAAAAAAAAAACAAGATCAGTGATACACTAAAAAGAAATTAACGTTTTGTTTTTGTATCAATTCACCTTCACCCATTTCCCATTTGAATTCGAACCCCAATAATTTAAAAAACAGACATGGAGAAGAGAAAGAGAAGAAAGAAAAATCTGCATATCCATAAATTTTCTTCTTCTTCTGCAAAGTTCTCAACCAAGGAAAGGAAATAAGAAAGATCCCCTCTGTGTGTGTATGTGTGTTGTGTGTAATGACAAGTTGCAAATTTCTTCCGCCAGATTTTTATGTCCACTAAACAATATGACGACGAGATAGAGATGGAAAGAGAGAGACGCCTGCACCAAGAAAACAAGACAAACAAGATTAGGCCCGAAAGTAAAGAAGGAAGGAGAGAGAGAAAAAGACCACAAAAAAAAAAACTTGAAAAGGAGCAAGAATTCTGCACATTCCGTGTAAGAGACTCTCAACAGAAAAATAACGGGACAAAATGCGCTCCAGATCGCCGTGTCGTGTGAATCGTTAAGAATTAAAGCAATCTTCTCTCCCACCAAGGACAGCCATGTGCTACAGTCCAAGTATGCAAGGTGAAGAGAAGAAGAACAAGCAGACAAAGCCATGGTTCGGTCGGTCGTGTTGGGAGGACAAGCTCCCATCCGTCAGACTCCCCTGGGGACAGACTCAATCACCTCCGACACCCCGGGTAGAGCAGCGACTCCTCGTCCATCCGAGGACAGGTAACTGTAGCCCCCCGCGTTCTGACCAGCCGAGGCGGCGGCTGCGGCGCCGCCGGCGGGCACCTCTCCCGTACGGAACATCTGCCCGTGGGCGCTGGTCGGATCGTACCCCTGACGAGGGAGGTGGTCGACAAAGGTGTGGCCGACGTACGACTGCGGGTGCTGCGCCACCGAGACGGCCTGCTGCTGCTGGACAAACGGCTGGGTCTGCGGGGGCATGGCCGCCTGCGCGGCGTACATGGCCTGCGTGTCGGGCGCCATGGTCGTCGCCGACGGCCAGTGGTGCGTCGTGTACATGCTGTTGCTGTTGTAATCGCTGTACACCGACGGTCGTCGGCTGGCGTCCTGCGGGCTCGGCACCCCCATCTCCACCCCACCCATGCCGGCCGCCCCGTTGACGGCCATCCCGCCCTCGGCGAAACCGTGGTGCGACGGCGCGCCGCTCATGTCGTGCAGCAGGGGCTGCTGCGCCGCCCGCATCGGTAGGTCGTTGAGGAACGAGCCGTTGTGCGAGCTCGGCACCGGGCTCTGTCCAGTCGCTGCCGGCGTCTGGAGGAAGCTCTGCTGCGCCGGCGCCGCCGCGGCCGCGCGTGTCGACGGCGAGGCGTTCTGGTCGTCCTCGTCACCGCGGCTCAACGAGTTGCCGTCATTCTCCGACGCCTGCTCGTCGACGCGTGAGTCGTTGTCGAGCACGTATACCTCGACGGCACCATCTATAACACGTCAGCCTGCTTCTCCCTCTCCTCCCCCTCCTCCCCCCTCGCCCCTCTCGCCCCACGTCGTCCGCGGTCAGTGTACCTACCAATCTCCCCATTCTTGTATCTCTCCTGCTGCTTGGCAACCTTGAAGATCTCGTTGAGAAACTGCTTCTTGCCCGCATTCGTCGTGCTCTCGGCGTAGAAACCCGACAGTGCCTCGTTCGTGCACTCTTCGAGCTTCTTGACATTGAGCTGGAGCTTCTGGATGTCTCGGTGTTGCCTCTCGTTGGGCTCCACCACGAGACTCAGGATGTGGTTGAGAAGGTGGACGCGTTCTGCAGCCGTGTCAGCACATCGCGGATACCACCGCACATGTAGATGGGGAGAGAACCCACCCCGCTTGTACAGGTGATCCGGCTCCTTGTGCCGCACCTTGTCCTCCTTGGTCGTCCCCCACGGCTTGGGCCACCAGTCCGGAGCCTTCTCGTCGCTCCCCGTATACGGATGCGTGGACTGCTTCTTGGGCTCGACGGCCTTGACCCACGCCTTGGCGATGAGCTTGCACGCCGACTGCTGGCAGCTCTTGAACCGCTGATCGTAGAAGCTCCAGAGAGCCGGCGAGTCCTGGACCCTGATGGCCCTGCGCATCTTGGGCGGGTTGGGGACGTCGTCGTCGTCGATGAGCGAGCCGGGCCTGTGCCGCTTCCGACCTGCCGACCGCGGTATCGCGCTGCCGGTGTCGTCGTCCAGGTCGTCGCCCGCCCGCCTCCGCTCCGTATCCAGGAACCGGTTTCCGTAGTTTGCCCGTCTGTACGGGTTGGCATCGAGACCGTGTTGGAAGTCGCCAAAGGACTGGTTGGGGCCTGCCAGAGGGTTCAAGAGCTGTCAATCCCGCCAGAAGTGCGCGCTGAGAGAGAGAGAGAGAGAGAGAGAGAGAGAGAGAGAGAGAGAGAGAGAGAGAGAGAGAGGGTGCCGGTCGGCTCCTCGACATACCTGTATCGAGATGGCTCGTTACCTCCTGGAATCGACGCGGATTGAAGAACTGGTGCACGACATTGTCGTTGAGCTTCTGCCCCGGGCTGAAGAAGGTGGTCGGCGTGCCATCCTCTCGTATCACCGCCACGAAGTATTGCTTCCCCGAGATGCCACAATGTGAACGTAGGGCCTGATCGATGGCCTGCCCGTGCTTCATGTCAGTGCCGGGTACGAGGCGTGGAGAGAATGGAGGGGAGAGCTCACCATCGGAGGCTGACGGATATTCTCCGGCGTTTCGTAGTACCGCCGCTGTTCTGTCGCATCCGTGCCGTATCGTGGCTGCGAGAACGACTGTAGACGAGGGACCGAGCCCCGCGACCAGTCCTGAACCATGGTGAATGTGATGTCCCGCGATCCGCCGCAGAGGAACTACCAGCGAGGCCTGAAAGGAGCTATTCAGGACTTGTCGGCGTCTCGACTCCCAGCCTTCCCCTCTACTTCCCTTCACACACCGAAAATGTGCGTGCGTGCGTGCGATGCGTGCGGACGGACGTGCAATACCTCTCAAAAATCCACGTCAGGTTGCTCGAGACCTCTCTTTCCCCTCCCCTCTCGTCTGGTGTGGCGCGACGTGAGACTGATGATTGCTCGATTCGAATCAGAATGAGGGTTGGAAAATGAACCCAGCATGTGCCCAGAAAAGAAGAGGAAGAAGAAAGGAAGAAAGAAGAAAGAGAAACCAAAGAAGAAGAAAAAGAGAGAAGAGGAAGGGGAAAAAAAAAAAGAAGATAAAAAGAAGAAAATAACCACCAAAATTGCGAACCGTCAAACGATCCAAGCGTATTTGTCGAATGACGGGTTTGCTGGGGTCGGGTTGTGTAATAATGTGGCAAGGGTGGAGCTATAGTTTGGAGAGGGTGACTTGGTTCGGATAGATGGGGAGACCACACGAGTGGGTTTGGTCTCAGAGGGTACGCAGCGAAGTGATGCTCAAGGAACCAGAAGTATTCAACGGCGGTGGCCGATTAATAAATCGAGTATCAAGATGTAACGTCACCTGCTTGTGTTGGTCGAACTCCTGGGGAGGAGGAAGGAGAAAAAAAAAAAAAAAAAACCTGTCAAGTGCAGAAGTCCAGATGCAAGTCTGTCATGGGCACAGGTCAACTTAATGGTCCCTTATAGTCGGTAGAAGGGGGAGGGGGGGGGGAGAGAAAAAATGGAAATGGAAGCACAGAGGTGTAATAGAACAAGGAATGGAATAAGATGGACAGGGATACGTAGACATGGTCCACACTGGGTAGGGTGATGTGCAATATCGAAGAAATGAAGATGGTATGAGGGAAGTGATGATGTGGGGATCCCGACAGACCGGGAGAGAAGGATTGACGAGCGCGTCCAAGGTTACGTATTATAACATTGATGACGGTGCTCGTACCTTGCCCGTCGTGACGAGCAGAGCTGATGCAAAGGGGGGGGAGGGAGGGGGAAGGGGGGAAGATGGCGAGAGGGTATCGAAGGAGTGCGCGTCAACAGTAACGGTTGAGTGCGACATCAACAGAGACAAGAGAGGAAGAAAAGATGGAGAAAAATAGAGAGCCAAACACAGGAGAAGACGGGCCGTGCATCGGGAAGGGGTCAGGGAAGGAGGGAAGGGAAAGAGAGCTCTATCCACTCACCTTTGACAAGCGACAGGGCTGTGAAGGTAACGGTGACCGGGGACCAGGGGGTTGGCAAGTTTGGCGGTGCTGTCTTGTCGAATGAATCGCAGCAAGGAATAATACGACGTACGATGTACAGAGTATTGCTATCCGGGAGCTCTGGTAACCGTGCTGGCCACGACGCCGGCAGGAAGAAGGCCAAGATTGGCAGGTCGGTGCAAGAGTAGATGACAATGGGTTATGGGACGCGGGAACGGGAACGGGGACGGGAACCTTTGGTCCTTGGGGTCGTGATAAGTGTGATACTGGCTGATGCTGGGGGTGGGATTTTGCCGATGGCAAGGCGGACGACGGGTCAGGCTAAGATTCCGAAATTTCGTATCCCCTCTGTCTCCTCCGGCCGTCAGGACAGGAGCAGAGAGACGAGGCCGGAGTAGAGAGAGGGRGGGAGGGAGGGAGGGAGGGAGGGAGGGAGCGAAAGAGAGAGTGTGAGAGCAAAGGTTGACTGGACGGATACCGTCAAGTGAAAATCGGCTCTCGCTGACTGCTAGTCGCTGGTCGCTGACGGGATTGGCGAGTGGGACGGTTAGGGATGTTTGCACGTCAAACGTCGCACTCCGTAGAGCCGTGCCTCTCGTACTCCGTGGCAGTGATGCCGGGGCTAGACCCCTACTATCTTCCGTAGGACAGCAGGGTTTCCCGTCTGGTTGCAAGGGCCGTTGTCGTTGTGTCGGTATACCGTATCGCAGATTGGCGATTTGACAGCTCGGGATAAGGTGACTCGTTTCCAAAGGTACAGACGTAATCAGGGGAGACAGCGTCGAGCGCGGCAATGGTTAAAGAATATGAGGAAAAGAAGGAAGGGGGAGGTAGGGAGAGAGGGAGAGAGGGAGAGAGAGAGAGAGAGAGAGGAGAGAGAAGAGAGTGAGAGAGAGAGAGAGAGAAACGTTGTCGTAGTGGTTGGTTGGCTAATTTGGGGGAGTGAGGTCGATCCGATCGTCCACACACACACACACACACACACACGCACGTACGCACGCACACAAACACACACACACGCGCACACACACTACACTCGTCCGTACCGTGCAGATTGCTCGATGCGACAGCAATTGGACGCCCCCAGTCTGCTGAGGAAGGCGAGGATGCCGGGTGGGCGGGGTGGAGAGAGGTTGAAAGGGAGAGGGAGAGAGCGAGAGTGAGAGAGTGGTGGGACGAGGGGAACGGAGAGAGAGAGAAGGAGAGACGAGAGACGAGAGACGAGAGGCAGGGAGAGAAGGGAGGAGACAAGAGTGAAGAGAAGGGGGGGGGGGGGGGGAAATAGAGTCAAGTGTACTCCGTAGAAGGAACAGCTCGATGGATGAGCTACTTCGTACGTCGGGACGTCTGAAGTGGCGGCGAAGGATGCACCAAGCGCATGTACAGAGTACGAGCAAGCACCGTGACAGTCCGGGGTCCGCTTTCAATAATCGTTGGCAAATGCGGACAGAGTAAGAGGTGAGGTATACTCGTACTGAGTCTTGGGGGTCGAACACTGGCAGGTACGAGTAGGTGTCCCCTCACAGGTATCGGTAGTGATTGCAATGCCCCTTCTGCATCCGCACTCCCGTACACCTTTCTCGTAGGTGGTGTCGCTGTATTATCCGGGGGCCGTACGGGAGAAAAAGGTGGCGATTGTACTTGGCAGTGCGAGTATATCGTAGGTAGCTAAGCTGCCAGGGCTCAGTCAGTGCGTCCCTGCCAGGTATTATGGACCATTCCCGGCCGGGGTCCCAGGCAGGAACAAGGTGGTGCTTTGGTGGTGGTGGTTGGCGGTTGACGGTAGATGACTCGTTGTCGTCTGAGAGAGCGTCTCTTCCCTCCGTATACCGAGTATCCGTACCGTGCTCTGTACGGGAACGAGGGTCTGGCTGGACAGCAGCAGAGTCCAGACTGTACCCGTATGTGCAGCAGTACCTGTATGCGTAGGGAAAGGTTGCTGCCAAACTGAGCTAAGCCGTGATGCAGCAGCCCGGATGTATGCGCATGTACCTGTGTGTGTACGAGTATGCGTACTGGATCCCTAGGCAGAGACAGCGCGGCAAGCAGCAGGCAAACAAACCCAAGATACGAACATGTGCGGAGTACAGGTGATATCCTCTTGTACGTCGTCGTACAGGGGAGGAGGAGAGAACGAAATGATTAATATGGCTGCCCACGGCCCAAGGTTGGTTTGACAAGTTGGCTGCTGCTGCTGCTGCTGCTGCTAAAGCCTAGTACGGACAGCGATGCCTGCCTTTCTGCCTGCCTGCCTGCCCACTCATCCGATGGACGGGACAGACGGGACGGGGGAGGAGGAGGAGGAGGAGGGAGAGGGGGGG